GGCGAGGTCTAATTTGAATCCGCCCGTGGCGTCACTGTGCTGGGCCCCCCAGCAGGCCTCGAAAGTGGCGACAGTTTCACAGATCGCAGCCCCCCAGGGATGGCGAGGTCTAATTTGAATCCGCCCGTGGCGTCACTGTGCTGGGCCCCCCAGCAGGCCTCGAAAGTGGCGACAGTTTCACAGATCGCAGCCCCCCAGGGATGGCGAGGTCTAATTTGAATCCGCCCGTGGCGTCACTGTGCTGGGCCCCCCAGCAGGCCTCGAAAGTGGCGACAGTTTCACAGATCGCAGCCCCCCAGGGATGGCGAGGTCTAATTTGAATCCGCCCGTGGCGTCACTGTGCTGGGCCCCCCAGCAGGCCTCGAAAGTGGCGACAGTTTCACAGATCGCAGCCCCCCAGGGATGGCGAGGTCTAATTTGAGTCCGCCCGTGGCGTCACTGTGCTGGGCCCCCCAGCAGGCCTCGAAAGTGGCGACAGTTTCACAGATCGCAGCCCCCCAGGGATGGCGAGGTCTAATTTGAATCCGCCGTGGCGTCACTGTGCTGGGCCCCCCAGCAGGCCTCGAAAGTGGCGACAGTTTCACAGATCGCAGCCCCCCAGGGATGGCGAGGTCTAATTTGAGTCTGCCCGTGGCGTCACTGTGCTGGGCCCCCCTGCAGGCCTCGAAAGTGGCGACAGTTTCACAGATCGCAGCCCCCCAGGGATGGCGAGGTCTAATTTGAGTCTGCCCGTGAGTCTGCCCGTGGCGTCACTGTGCTGGGCCCCCCAGCAAGCCTCGAAAGTGGCGACAGTTTCACAGATCGCAGCCCCCCAGGGATGGCGAGGTCTAATTTGAGTCTGCCCCAGGGATGGCGAGGTCTAATTTGAGTCTGCCCGTGGCGTCACTGTGCTGGGCCCCCCAGCAAGCCTCGAAAGTGGCGACAGTTTCACAGATCGCAGCCCCCCAGGGATGGCGAGGTCTAATTTGAGTCTGCCCGTGGCGTCACTGTTCTGGGTCCCCCAGCAGGCCTCGAAAATGGCGACAGTTTCACAGATCGCAGTCCCCCCGCAGGCAAGACAGGAGGAGGCAAGAGGGAGGCGGGACGGGACGGGAAGGAGTGGAGACCACACTGCTCTATTCAAAACAATACCCAACCAAGGAGGGTTGGGAAATAACAGGTCGTGGTCTTTGCCGTCGACGTCGTCGTTGTTGCTCGTGCCTTGTCGCGTCGTCAGCGTCGTCGTCATCGTTTGCGTCGTCGTCATGTTCGTCGTCGTCATGGTGTGCATTGTCGTCGTCGTGTACGTCGTCGTTGTCGTCCGCGTGATCGTCGTATGCCGGCGTGCAAGGGGGGGGGGTCACATGCACACATACACACACACAGGAGTTTCGAGGAGTTCGCGCCAGAGGGGGGGGCCCAGTTTCAGATGAGAGGGGAAAGGTTCCAGTTCTGGCGAGGCTGTGTGTGTGGATGTTCGGACGCACCGCCTCCATGAAAGACGTGCTCTCTTCGGAGGTCAGGACCTGGTCCCCAGGACCAGCTTTTTTTTCTGGAGTCGTTTTCTGATGGCCCCCAGGGCCCAGTGAGGGCTTCAAATGGAAGGAAGTCACGTTCCCTTATACAGTGTTTGTAGTTTGAAAATCCGAAACAAGAAATATTGCAAGGGCTTTCCACGTGTCCAGAACCGCAAATTCTAATGGAACGGACGGTTTTGCCAATTGCTGGGCGCCTTGCACAAACAATGGCACAATGGTACAACCAATGATGGAATTGGCGATGTTGCGAATTGTGGGGTGTTTGGCGCACCTATGGCATAGCCTATGATGCACCGACGCAACCAACAATTAATTGAACGAACGATGTTGCGTCTTGCGGGGTGCCTGGCAACGGTGCACACAATAATGGCACATACTTTGTGTGAATTGTTGGGTGCCTGGCAAGACCTATGGCGCAATGGTGCAGCCAATGATAAACACACGATTTTGTGGATTGTGGTGTGCATGGCGCAACTTCCAGCGGAATGCTACAGCCACAATGGCACACCTACAGCTCAATGGCAAGACTATCTTGCGGAGTGAGGGACACTTGGTAAATGTGCGGGGTGTTTGGCGCAACCGCCGGTGCAATGGTAGAACAAATGATGGAACAGACGGTTTCGCGAATTGCGGGTTTCATGACGCAACGTTTGACGAAACATCAAGTCATAGAGAAGCCGATGTTGCGGATTGCGGGGTGTTTCGCGCAACGTCATAAGAGCGTTGTCAATGGGGCAATGTACATGTGAGAATCGAGCAGACGATGTTGCGGATTGCAGAGTTTGACCCCGCTCATGGCGCTATGGTGCAACCAAGAATGGAGCAGACGATGCTGCGACTCGATGGATGTCAGCCGCAATATAGTAAGCCGGAAGGTAGTGCACGTGTTGTCTCAGGTATCTTGGGTGTTTTTGTCTGCCCAGACCCGAGGGGGTCTGGGCCTCAGGATGTGTCCTGACGGATCGGGGAACAGATCCCTCGACGAGCGCGCTCTGGCCAGGGCGAGGCAGATCCGGCCGGGGCGACGACGGTCCTCCCAGAAGTTCAGAACGGCCGAGACCAGATTCTCTTGGAAAGCAAACCTCGAACCCCGGAAGGTGGGCGGCTTCGTCAACGACATCGCCATGATCTCCCCAGTCGGCATGCTGACCGCGCAGTCGGCCGGGTGGACGCCGCAGCCTGGCGAGTCGTTGCGAGCTTGGGATCTGACGAAGACCCCGTTCAAGAGGGCTTGCCTGGCCGCCGCCTCCAGCGCCCAGGACTTCGGAGGAGGAGGAGGAGGAAGAATTCGAAGTTCGAGGCTTCGAGGTTTCAGGTTTTGAGGCTCTTGAGCTCCGTATCGTCGTTTACCCTATCCTCATCCCCACCGGGCCATGCTACCTCAGCCCCACCATGCCACCCCCCAAGTTGGGGACAGACCCCTCGAAAGCCCAAGCGTACAGCCTATATCCCCACCTAGGGGGGTTAACTGGCCAGTAGGGCCAAGGCCGTGCCAGTGGGGATGGGGATCGGTTAACCGATGCTCACGAGTAGCGTTCGTGGCCCTTTGGGGCGCCCCGGAGGCTCCTCGCTGCCACGGCCGGATCTGCCCTGAAGTTTTGGCCAGAGCGCACCCGTGGGCAGGCCCAGAGGTCGATTGTGGACTCCCGAGCCGCCCAGGCTCCTTCCGAGTCGTGACGAATCACGACGGGAGGTGTTCCACGGCTTCGGCCTCCAGAAGGCACTCTCATGCCCAGACGGACCATCAAACAACGATTCAGGATGAGAAGCCGGTGCGAGGGAAGGGGTGAAGACCCCCGGGTGCCCCAGCTGCGAAGAAGGGCAGGACGCCGGGGGCCTCTGGCGGCGACGGGGAGCCTTGGGCCTCCCCAGGGCCTCCGGAGGCGAAAGCTCCTCCGGAGTCCTCCAGGGATTTCTGTCGGCGGCGAGCCCGGGGGGGAAGTGAGAAGGAGCGGGCCTTCTCCGAAGGCTCGAAAGTCGCCCGGCCTTCTGCGGAGTTTTCCAAGCGAAAGCTCAGAAGATGTTTCCGAAGGCGCGGAGGTTTCTGAGAAGCCCCGCCACCTTCCGAGAAGGCTTCCTCCCTCTCGCTTCCCCCCCCTGCTCGCCTCCAATTCTGGGGACCTGAGGCTGACCTCCAGAGGTCTCCCCGTAAACGTTCTGTGGCCTCCATTGGCTTCTGCCTGCTTCCAGAGGCCTTCTTGCATAGGCCTCCAGAAGTTCCTGGGGGCCTGCAGAGTCGTCTGGGAATCTGGACGGGGACAGCAGGGAGGGAGGAGACAGGCCGCCAGGAAGCCTCCGGAGCCCCCTCCCACGTCGAGGCAGGTGGGGAGGGAGGGGGAGGAGGAAGAGGAGGAGGAGGAGGAGGAGGAGGAGGCAGAAGAGGAGGAGGAGAAGGAGGAGGAGGAGGAGGAGGAAGAGGATGAGGGAGGAGGAGGAGGAGGAGGAGGAGGAGGAGGAGGAGGGGGTTCGCAGTCAAGAGGCTCAGCAACTCGAACCGTGGATTTGTTTGCCTGCGTCGCCTTCGATGTGTCGTAGCTGTTAGGTCTCTGGGGGCCGTCTTCGGGCCGCGTGACCGTCAAAAGCGCACCAGGGACGAAAAACTGCCCCCAGGGAAAGACCCCGGACAATTCGTCGACATGATTTGCATAAGTTGCATTGTTCTTCTGGGGGGTCGGATACCGCCAGATTCGTGGGGTATCCCAATCGGAGGAGGGGGGAGATATCGCGAAAGGGATCGCTATCAGGAGCCTGAGGAGGCTGCGCGATTTGCATGCCCAGACATCATCCGAAAGAAAAGAGAACAGTGAGACGGAAGGCCCACGACTCGATGCGAGAGCACTTGAAGGGCGTCCGACGTGTGAAAATATTGGAATTGTACATAAAAATCGCGGTGGCTCAGCAAGGGCAAGGCCGTCCCCAGAGCCCTCCAGAGGTACCCAGAGGCCCCTGGAGGTTTCGAGAGGCCTCCCGCTCCATGTTCGGCCTCTGGGGGGCATTGCTGGGCCCCAGGCCAGTCGACGAACTACTCAGAACGATCCCGTCGAAGGTCTAGGGATTGTTGCGAGGAGAATGACGACAGGGAGGACGAGGAGGTTGGGGAGGACCGAGACGGACGACGAGGACGACGAGGGGGGACTGGGAGGAGTGCGAGGAGGAAGGCGCGGTCAGTCCCCTTGTCAGATGGGACTTCCAGGTCACATGAGTGGGCATCCATTGGTCTGGGCCGCAGTGTTCACGACTGGCCGCGTCGCCTGGGCTGCAGGCGTGTGCCGCCTTGCTTGCGCGACCACGCTAGGCGCCAGGCGGCGGCTTCCCGGTGGATGGGCAAACCAGGACGAGGAGGAGAGGAGGAGGGGGCTGTGGCGCTGGCCCTGGGCTCGGTGGAGCAGGAGCAGCAGCAGGAGCAGCAGCAGGAGCAGCAGCAGGAGGAGGAGGAGGAGGAGGAGGAGGAGGAGGAGCAGCAGGAGGAGGAGGAGGAAAGGAGGAGGAGGAGGAGGAGGAGGAGGAGGAGGAGGAGGAGGAGGAGGAGGAGGAGGGAGGAGGAGGAGGAGGAGCAGGAGGAGGAGGAGGAGGAGGAGGAGGGCCGTGCCTCTGGCCCGCTGGGCTCCGCCAGAAGCAGCACGGAGCTGCTGCGAGCAGCTGCCCCGGCCGCCGCCCGCGGAGCCCGCACCAGACGGAGCCCGCGGCCGGCGCCCTGCGGGCCTGGGAGGTGGGCCCGCGGGCAGGGCCCGAGGGAGCCGCTCGGCATCGCTCGGACGTGTGCATCTTTCCTTCGGCGAGGGCCATCGAGAGGAGCATCCTTGAGCATTTGGCGAAAAAACCACGCACGACACCGAACAAAGCACAGGGAATGGACGTCCGAGCGATGGCCAGAGGTGGGCCCGGGCAGGGCCCGAGAGAGCATGGGGAGCGAGGGGGCCCCAGGGGCGCGAGTAGCATCGCGCTGCGCACCAGGCGGCTTGGGTCGGAGGGGCGCCCTGCTCCAAGGGGGCACCCCCCGCGAGCGGCGAGGAACCGAAGCGCGTGGGTGTCGCACGAGGAAGCAGTCCCTTCTCCAGAGTGGCCTCGTGAGGGCGCGAAGCTAACCGCGCACCGCGGGGCGCGGGGCGCGCAGGTAGGTGCAGTAGGGAATGAGATGAAAGAGGGAGCGCGGGACGAGCAGGGCCCAGATACGGTCAGGAACTTTTGCTCAGCGTGTCGCGCCGCCAGTTCTGGACCACCTTTGGCGCGATGCGCTAAGCACCAAGCACGTCCCAGTCCCCAAGGGTGAACGTCCCGAGCTTCTCCCAGCTTCCCCCCGGCGGAACGGAGCGACACGCTACCAGTTCGCAGGGCATAGCGAGTCGCTGGGGCCGCCGCTGTCACACGCGAATCAAAAGTTCTGGATCGTGCCCAAGCGTCTCGGTAAGACCACGACGGCAGATGTTTGTAAGACAGCACGTGTCCGAATCGGGTTGCGGGGGGAAGGGGCGCAAAAGCAGTGAGAAGAGAAAGCGGAAGCCGCGACAAGGACGCGCTCGCCGACGCGGCGGCTGTGGGGGCCCGTCCTCTTCGCCCTGCCCCTCCGGCCCCGGCGCCGATCGACGACATGTCCCAGATGGTCTTCCGAGGCCATGAATCTGCATGCACGCGAACGCTCGGAAGTCTGCAAGGATCTTCCGGATTGGCACGGCCCCCCCCCACCCTGGCACCCCCAAGCGGCGCACTCCGCTCGCTGGGGCAGGGGACGGTAGGCGCAGGGGGGCCCGCATCGGCCCCCAATCGCCTGCCGGCCGCCGATCGGGGCCCGTCCCGCCCAGGCGCGTGCGGCGTCGCTCTCGGGAGCCTTGTCGCCGATCTATCGGCGATGCATCGCCGATTCTGGGCCGATCTCCCCCCCCCCCCTGAGCCAGCCTTCCCCCGCCCTACAGTCAGCCCTGGTCGAAAGGATGATACAACCTCCTCAGGGTACCCCTCCCCTCCTCCTCCCCCTCCTCCTCCTCCTCCTCCTCCTCCTCCTCATCCTCCTCCTCCTCCTCCTCCTCCTCCTCCTCCTGCATCCTCCCCCTCCTCCTCCTCCTCCTCCTCCTCCTCCTCCTCCTCCTCCTCCTCCTCCTCCTCCTCATCCTCCTCCTCCCCCCTCCTCCTCCTCCTCCATCCTCCCCTCTCCTCCTCCTCCTCCTCCTCCTCCTCCTCCTCCTCCTCCTCTCCTCCCTCCTCCCTCCTCCTCCTTCTCCTCCTCCTCCCCTCCTCCTCCTCCTCCTCCTCCTCCTCCTCCTCCTCCTCCTCCGTCTCGCGCTGGAGTTCCTCGCCGCTGGCTCGGTGCGACAAGGTAGCCACTTCCCGGTCTCGGCGGCGACGACAGGAGCGAATAGCCCAGGGGCGGGCATGACACGCATTCGCACGGGAGCCTTCTCGAATGCAGAGATCATCGGCGCACCCGAGTACATGTGTTGCTCGCCCCGGGGCTATTCGCCCCCTATCGTCGCCTCTGACGGTCTCCGAACGTCTCGACGTCCCGAGCTGTTCCCGGACCCCCGCCCCGCGGAGCGGAGCGGCACGCTATCCGCTTGCAGGGCATAGGGTGTCGCCGGGGCCGCCGCCCCGACAGGTTGAGCAAAAGTTCCCGACCGTATGCTGTCGCGGGTTTCTTGCCCTCCAGGTCCGCCTCCACACCCGCGGGGTGCGCGCGGTGAGCCTCTGGCCCCGGGCGGAGCACACGGAGTGCCTGCCGCGGCTCGTGGGCAGCGTCTCCAAGGACGGAGACCACCATGGATTAGGCGTTGGAAGAACGGTCCATCCCCTCGGGCGGTCGAAAAACAAAATCGGCACGGACATAAGTTTGCGGAGTTGCGCCTCCCTGGCGATAACTCTGGCGCAGCCCGTGGCGCGCTCCGCGCACCAGGGAGGGGTTTGCAGCGCCGATCCGGAGATCCGCGCGGACCTCCAAGGATTTTCTTTCTGCCGGTGCTGCGCCCGTCGAAGAACGGTGCAACATCAGTTGTTCCGCGATCGGGGACGTTTGCCCTCAGGGAGGCTGGACAAAAGTCATGGCCCCACCTGCCACCGCAGGGGTGCAAAGTTCCTGGCCGCCATGCGGCAGGCGTCCCCAGTGCCAGAAGAGCGTACAGTCGACCCGCAGAGTAAGGATAGGCATCCCTCCCAGGGGTACCCTTGCATCCTTGCCCCCTCGGTCCATGCTTGGACACTTTCGTTGGCCGCGCCCCGCTCGAAGATCGGGCGGGGCGAAAGGGGGGGATTGGGAAAGGAGGGGGTACGAGATTTGCTGCATGCAGCTGGTTTCGGCCCCGCCGCCGGGCCCATTCCTCGATACATGGGCGCCTCCGGCGCCGGGAGGCGCCGGGAAAATCAGCTACGTGAGCTGATTCTCAAGCCCCCCCTTTGCTATCCCCCCCTTTCGCCCGACCCGAGAAGAGCTTCGAAGTGGGTGTCCAAGGCCCTCGCATCCTCACCGCGCATCCTCACTCTGCGGGTTGACGGTGTGTCGTACCGCTCTGCGCCCGTGGAGAGCGAAGCACAGCACACGTCCCGAGCGGGAGGCGTCATGAGGTTCTTCTTGTGGGTCCTCGCCGGGCCCCTCCCGCGGAGGCCCCGCGGGGCCCCAGGACCGTCCGAGAGCGACGGGAGGTGGAACCGTGGTCCCGGTTTTTTTTTCTCTGCTATGGGGGGCACGCATTGCGCGTTTGCCGTGCACGTAAGTTTTTTCTCTTGCTCGCTTCACCTTCCTCACTTTCGTTTTGTGTGTTATTTCTCGTTGTTGCTTACTTTCTCTGCTTATGTTTTTTTGTGTTTAATGTTTGCTTTTGCCCTTGTTTTTTGTTCTTCTTGCTTTTCTTTGATTTTCGGTTTTGAAGGGGGGGGGCAGCTCCAAGCGAGGTTCAGGGCCTGTCTCCCCCCTGTTTCCCTCAGCGCCTGTTCCTTCACGCCAGGCGGAGCGGGGCGGGGCGGGCAGGCGGAACGGAGAGGCGGGGAGGGAGGGAGAGGCAGGGTAAGGGAGGGAGGGAGGGGCAGGGAGGGAGGCAGGGGGGGGGGCAGGGAGGGAGGGGGGAGGGGCAGATGTGGAGAGGGGGGGAATGGAGGAGGAGAGGGTGCGCGGGAGGAGGAGCTCGGAAGAGCGGAAGAGGAGGTGGTGGGGCGGAGGGCAGACGAGGAGGACGGCGAGGTGGCATGAGGAGGAGGGGGAGGAGCAGGGCGAAGACGAGGGCAGCACAAGGATGAGGAGGCGGAGGAGAAGGAGGGCTCGCGGCTGTGCCCCGCCAGTGAGCGTGAGGCCAGCCCACCTCCTCTTCCTCCTTCTCCCCCTCATCTTCCTCATCATCCTTCATCCTCACCCTCCTCCTTCCTCCTCACCCTCCCCCTGGTCGTCCCTCTCCTTCTGTTCGCTATCGTCGTCCTCCTCCATCCCCCGTCATCGTTCTGTTACTCTCCATGACATCCTCCTCTTTTCATAGCGACACTGGCCGGAGGGGGGTTGTGAGGGCTGGTCCCTTGACCCGAATATTCCTCCTCCCCAAACGGGGCGCCACCATCCCCACGCACGGCTGGGGGAAGTTGGTCGAGATGTCCCCGTGGCCTTCAGTCGGGCCTGTCCCTCTACAGGAGGAATGTTCAAAAAGGGTAGAAAAATAGTCTCGGGACGATTGTTTGAGTATGTTTGTGTTGACAATGTTTGAGTATGTTTTGACTATTGTTTGATTTGTTCCTCGAGAATCCCTGGACGCCCGATATGGGTACGGAAGGAATGGGTACAATGCCCAACAGCAGTTCCTGTTCATGTTGAACAGGACTCGCTGTCCGCGACGCCGCGGCCTGTGTCCATTCGAGACAGAAGGCCGCCTGCCCAACAGCGGCCGCTGTTGGATTGGGACAACATTTGTTGTTCGGCATTGTACCCATCTTTTCCGTACCCATTTCGGGCGTCCAGAAAAATCCTTTTGCAGGGAGACAGGCCCGACTTAACCGTGGCCCGAAGAGCCCCCCAGGCAGGGCCACCACCTCCACGCACGGCTGGGGGAAGTTGCTTCAGATGTCCCCGTGGCCTCTTCCTCCTCCTTCTCCTCCTCCTCCTCCTTCTCCTCCTCCTCGTGCATTCAGCTTCCTCCTCCTTCTCCTCCTCCTTCTCCTCCTCCTCCTCCTCCCCCTCCTCCTCCTCCTCCTCCTCCTCCTCCTCCTCCTCCTCCTCCTCCTCCTCCCTCCTCCTCCTCCTCCTCCTCCTCCTCCTCCTCCGCATCATCCTCCCTACTCCTCCTCCTCCTCGTGCATTCGGCATCGGGGCTCGCGGTCGGGCCCAGGGGCTCTTCGCGAGGGCCCCGCGGCCCAGGCCTCGCCACCCCGTGCACGACCCGTGGGCTTGTTCGGGCAGCCTTTTCTGAAGGGGCCCTGGGACACACAGGTAAATGCACACAAATAAAGGGATTCCCTCCTCCTCCTCCTCCTCCTCCTCGTCCTCGTCCTCGTCCTCCTCCTCCTCCTCCTCCTCCTCCTCCTCCTCCTCCTCCTCCTCCTCCTCCTCGTCCTCCACCTCCTTCCTCCCTCCAACTCATGGTAGTGGTGGTGGAAAACAGGCCCATCACGATAAGCCGAGGTCCTCGGCAAGCTTCTGCCTGAGCGCCTCCAGTGAGCTCAGCCTCGCGGCCATCGCGCCCGCGCCCCCCCTAACAAATAAATAATACACACGAAGTAATACACACAAATAGTCGGGGGTGGACAGACCTCCTACCCTGACATGGCGTTTTCACTAAAGGGTGGTTTACTAAAGGGAGGCTTGTCCACCGCCGAAATAAATTGATTCCCCAGATCTTGCCATATGTTCTGGGTTTTTGTCTCCCCCACCACTTCCCACATTTTCCCACCTTTTCCTGGGAGTGGACGATTCGTTGTGTCTGTGTGTTGTTTCCCCTCCTGATTTTTGTCCCGAGGATCCTTTCCAAACGCGGCTGCACCGCCCCATGGCGTGCCTTAACTCTGTTTCACTTCCCCGCCGCGGCCGCCGCCTCCGCCGTTGTCGTCGTGGTCGCGCCGTCGTCGTCGCCGCGTTCACCCCCGTTCCTTCCGAAGTAGTGTGCCCTTCAATCCTCCTACGTACCCCCATCCTTCCTCCACCTTTACCTCGGCATCGCCGTGTGAGCCTCTGGCCCAGACTCGCCAGAGGGCATGCGACGCCGGAGCTGCAGGCAGTTTTCGAGATTCTCCCTCCCCATCTCTCTCCTCCTCCTCCTTGGTGTTGTCCTCATACCCCTCGTCCTTCCCTCCTCCCTCTCCTCCTCCTGTTCCCTCCTGCACTACTCCGCCTAGTGGATACCCCGCAAAGCGTTTCATAACCTTTTTGCTCCCTAGTGCGTGATCTGTCCGTCACCTTTTTTCAGCGTGGGCCCCCGGCGTCACTAGTTTTCGCAGCGTGGACCCCGAGAGGTCTGCAGGACCCCTTCCCGGGACCAGCTTCTCATCCGAATCAGTTTGTTTGACGGTCCTGGGGCCCTTTGAGGGCCCCCAGAAACCGACAGCAGCCAAAAGTTGTGTGTCATGATGTGCTTCTCGACGCGGAGGGGTCATGGCCGACCTCTGGTGCCCCGGACCTGCGAGTTTGCCTGCGGCCCGACAAGCCCGGAAACTGTATATAGATCGCTCCAGGCCCAGGAATGGAAGGAATCGCTCCAGAGCCTTCCAGGACGCCCTCGGAGCCTTCCGGAACGCTCTGCGACGGCCGCGACGTCCGACACGGTGGTGGCGCTCGTTCAGGAGATGTGCCCAGGAGGCCTCCGATTCTGGGGGGCTTCTTGTCTGATGAGAGCGGCAGCTCCGTGATGTCCATGGCCAAACCACGACTGGAGCTGCAGCGGCTTCCAGGCCCTGGATCCCTTACCAAATGGTTCCTTGTCCAGTGCCGTCACCGCCTCGGCTCGGCGGCGGAGGCGAGGGCCCGTGGGGCGGCGGCGCGCAGGTCGAGGGCTGCCGCTGCTGCGGCGGCGGCTGCCACGCGTGCCCAGCGCAGAACTGCATGCATTTGTGCACGCGGGCCCTGCCCCCCGAAGAGAGAGAGAGAGAGAGAGAGAGACAAAGATATGCCGCCGCCGCGCCTCGAGCCGGACCCGCCGGCTCTCTCGGAGCTCCACGACTATGTGCCGCGCCCCTCGCCTCGCGTTGCTCGGTGCCCCTGGGCTTCTGTCGGGCCTGTCCCCCTACAGGGGGATTTTCGACAACAAATGCAAATTCCCCCAAAAAACGCACCAAAAAGGCCAAACAATATGCAAAAAATAGTCCCCAGACTATTATTGGAATATGTTTTGATTACTTTTGGGAGGATTTTTTTTCTTCGTCGAAGATTCCCCTGTAGGGGGACAGGCCCGACCTAACCCTGGGCCCGCGGGCCCGTCTGCAGGCGCCGCCGCGCCGGCGGGCCCCGCCCGGAGAGGACGTGCTCGCGGTGTCCAGGCTCGGGCCCGACGGCCGCAGCGTGGAGGCGCCCGCCGCGTGGGCGAGGGGCGGCCCCCACGACGGCGCCGACGTGAGCGCCCTCCGGCACGAGTCGCAGGAGATCGGCGGGCGCCGCCGCCGCCGCCGCCGCCGCCGCCGCCTCCTCCTCTTTCTCCTCCTCCTCCTCCTCCTCCTCCTCTTTCTCTCCTCCTCCTCCTCCTCCTCCTCCTCCTCCTCCTCCTCCTCCTCCTCTCCTCCTCCTCCTCCTCCTCCTCCTCCTCCTCCTCCCTCCTCCTCCTCCTCCTCCTCCTCCTCCTCCTCCTCCTCCTCCTCCTCCTCCTCCTCCTCCTCCTCCTCCTCCTTCCCTCCTTTCGCTCGGCCTGCCGCGTCGGCCGCTCGGCCCGCCGGATAGGGAAAGGTCAAACAGTGGCGAAGCGTCCTGGCTCGCCTATAGCCCGACCTAACAATGTTCTAAGAACCTGTTTGTGGTTTCCACGAAATCTTCATATAACATTTCTGGCGGAGTCTGTTTTGCTTTAGCACATTTTAAAACATTTGTGGGTTCTAAGAGCATGTTGTGGTAGGACTATAGGAATGCCGGGACGGTCGATCCCTGCTCAAAAAGAGGGGGGTACGAAATCTGCTGCATGCAGTTGGTTTCGGCCCCGCCGCCGGGCCCATTCCTCGATACATGGGCGCCTCCTGGCGCCGGGAGGCGCCGGGAAGATCAGCTACGTGAGCTGATCCTCAAATCCCCCCCTTTGCTATCCCCCCGTTTCGCCCGGCCCGACAGGCCCAGACAGCTCCGACGATGTGCCTGTGTTCGGACGAGGCGCTCGTCCTCGACTTCGGCCTCCGGGCCCGTTTTCGGTTGTCGCCCCGGGGCGGTCCAAGATGCGCCCTGGGGTTAAGGGGGGCAGGACCTCTGTGGGGCCGCACGAGTCACGGGAGACCTGCGCGCGCTGTCCCCAGACCCCCTCGCGTCGTGAAAAACTCACGCCGGAGCGCGCCGGGGGCAACATTCGGCCAACGGGAGCCCTCACGGGCCCCCCCCCCGGGCTGGCAGCAAACGGCTCGGGACGAGAGGCCAGCCCCAGGGGAGGGGTCGGGGTTTCTGGGGATCACGTCTCGTTACCGGTCTGAGCCGCGCCGTCCCGATCCTGCAAGTTGGCATCACGTCCTCTCGGTGCCGATCGCAAGGACCCCCTCAAGGTCTGAGGGCGCATCCCTGGGTGTGGAGCCGCCCTGGGCTTGGCAATCCCAGGGAGTGGGAAACAGCTCAAGTCGGGTATAGCCAGGACCACGGGTAAGGGGACCCGGTTAGTGGTAGGGCCCTGGGCCCCTCAATTGGCCAGATTCACTCAACCAGGTTTGCCGTAACTGGTGTTTTTCGGGTGACGGCAGCTCCGGTTAGTGGAAGTGGGGCGGGGGGGCGCCCCCGGCACAAATCACTAAACCAGGCTCCACTAAACCCAGTTCTGCCAACGCCCGATCAAGACTGGCGACATGGAACGCACTCACGGCGTCGGAGCTTCGAGGCCCGGATACCCACGCCCGCCCTGGGCGGGTCGGTCCTGCGCCCGGGCTTGGCTAAGGAGGGGAAAAAACACACATACACAAGGGAAAATATGGGAAGTGGGGGGGAAGACAGAAACCCAGAACATATGGGAAAGTATGGGGAATATCGTTATTTGTGTGTATTTATTTGTGTGTCCTGGGGCCCCTTCATTGGCGCACACGCCCCCTCCAGGCCTGGCCAGCAGAGCGCCGCGCACCGGCCTAGAGCCCGGGAGCGGCCCGGCCGGGGCAGGCATGTCGTGTGTGCAGCCAGCGCCCGCCCTCCAGGAGAGGATGTGGAGCGGCGACACAAAAGGCGCGGCCGAGCTCTCTTCCTCATCCTGTTCCTCCTCCTCCTCCTCCTCCTCCTCCTCCTCCTCCTCCTCCTCACCCGTCTTCTCCCACTCCTCACCCCGTATCCCTCCCCCATTCCTGCTGCCTGTCTTCCTCCTTCCTCCTCGCCCTCCTCCCCCACGCACGCACGCGCACACACGCACCGCAGACGCGGATAAGAATGATGGTTCGCCATGGGCTTTAAAGGTGACTGTCTAGACAGAAACCCTCCGCTGTAGAAGGGACGTACAAACAATAAAACAAACAACCAAACAAGCACACGACAACCAAAAATAGAGTTACAGTTTGAACAGCCCTTCGGGTGGTAAGGAGAGTGGGGGATTAAGAAGCCATTGGGCTCGCATTGCATCCACATCGAATTACAAGTGGCACGTGCGTACGCAGGTACATATCAACACATGTGCAGAATGTACGTGTGGTGTGTAATAAGGATTGTGTTGTGTGTGTTGTGGGTTGTGTGCGTGTGTTGTGTGTTGTGTGTTGTGGTTGTGCTATGTGTGCGTTCTGTGCGGGTCATGTGTGTTATGTGTGTTAGGTGTGGTATGTGTGTATGTGTGTGTGTGTTGTGTGCGTGCGTGCGTGTGTGTGTGTGTGTTACGTGCATTATGTGCGCATTCTCTGTGTGTAGGTGGGTGCGTATATGTGCGTGTGTGTGTGCGCGTATGTGCGTGTGTGTATGCGTCTGTGTGAGTGTGTGCGTGTGCGTGCGTGCGTGTGTGAGCGTGTGTGTGTGTGTGTATGTTCGTGTGTGTGCTTGTTTTTTGTATGTGCGTGTGTGTGTGCGTTTGTGTGTGCGTGTGTGCGCGTGTGCTTATATGTGTGTGTGTGTCTGGGTATGTTTGTGTTTGTTGTGTATGTGTGCTTGCGTGTTTGTGTGCTGTGTGTGTGTTTGTTTGTGCGTGTGCGTTTGAATACTGTATGTGTGTTTATGTGTGTGCATGTGTGTGTGCGTGTGTGTGTGTGCGCGTACGTGTATGCGTGTGCGTGCGTGTGTGTGTGTGTGTGTGCGTGCGTGCGCGTCCTGTGTGTGTGTGTGTTTGCGTGTGTGTGTGTGTTTGCGTGTGTGTATGTGTGTTTGTGTGTGTATGCGTTGTACGTCGGGGCTCGATGTTGGGAGAACGTCTGACGCGAACCTGTCTTGTTTCTGAGAAGCGCTGTGAGCAGGGGCTCACTTGTTGTAGGATGTCCCAGGCGAAACTGCAAGGATGATGAGGATAGTGGTGGTGGTGATGGCGACGATTGGTGCGTGTGATGCTTATGATGTTGATAATGATGAGAATGATGATGATGGAAATGATTACAATGATGATGGTGGTGATGGTGATGATCATGATCATGATCATGATCATGATCATGATGAGGATGGTGGTGATGGTGATGCTGATAGTGGTGTTGGTGATGACTATGATGGTGATGATGGCGATGTTGATGGTGATGGTGATGGTGATGATGGTCATAATGATGGTGATGATGATGATGACGATGGTCATGATAAGGACCATGGTGGTGGCGATGATGATGGTGATGGTGTTGACTAGGATGATGATGGTGATGGCGATGATGATGATGGTGATGGTGGTGGAGATGGTGATGATGCTGATGATGATGACGATGACGATGATGATGGTGATGATGATGACGATGATGCTGATGCTGGTGATGACGACGATGATGATGAGGATGATGGTGGTGGTGGTGATACTGATGATCATGGTTACGATGACGATGATGATGATGACGATGATGATGATGCTGATGATGACGATGATGATAATGAACGTGATGATGCGCGTGACGACGAATGTTCGCCGTGGGCCAGTAAAGCACGCGCGCGGCTTGAGATGGGTTCGCGCGAGCGAAGCCCCAAGGCATCCCTACAAAACCGTGCCCGTCCAGGCACATCTTGGGCCCTCAAAGATGGTTCCAGGGCGCCCCGCACCATGCCAGACCCCAGGACGGATGGCCTTGGCTAGGGATGACGGTGTATGGGCCTTCTGCAGACGGGATTCCTCCGCTCCAACGGCAGAAGATTCGATGCTGCTGATAGCCGCGAGGCGTGATCAAGCAGTGGGACACCTCCGGGCACGGCCCAGGCGACGTGGTTCGCATCGACGGCAATTTCGGATGGCTGACGGGGATGGAGGTCTCCTGGGGGGGCGGCCCTGCTGGGGGTGCGCGCGCGCGTTCGCCGACGGGGTGCCTCGTCGCCTTCGCCGCCGCCGAGGGTTGTCGTCAGCGTCGTCGCCGTCCCCGCCGTCGCCGCCGAGGTTCGGGCCCCTCCTGCCCCCCTTCCTCAGAGCAGGAGGAGGAGCTAGTCGGAGGAAGAAAATCAAAAATAGTAAGAAAAAGGTCAGCTGGATCCACGCTCACTGGCGGAGCCCCGTCGCGGTCCTTCCTGCTCCTCTTCCTCCGCCTCCTCCTCCTCCGGTATCCGTTTCATCCCCGTCCTCCTCCTCGTACTCCTCGTCCTCCTCCCCCTCCTCTTCCGTTGCCATGTTGGCTCAAGATGCAAGACATCTCTGGAGAGTCAAGTGGATGCCGGTGGTCCGCGGCCAGCTTTCAGCTCTTCACACCCCTGTCGGGGACGCCGCACTGCCTCTCCTGCAAGGCCATGGCGCCGGCGCGCAGGGCAGCCTCTGGTGGCGGAGGTGGGCAGGCGCCGCCCCCGCGCGCTGGTGCCGAGCGCGCGCCGTGGCTCTGCAAGTCCTGCCATACCAGCAAAGCCAGGAGGGCCTGCACACAGGTCCTGTCCTCCTCCTCCTCCTCCTCCTCCTCCTCCTCTCCTCCTCCTCCTCCTCCTCCTCCTCCTCCTCCTCCTTTTATTCCTCTTCCTCCTCCTCCTCCTCCTCCTCCTCATCCTCCTCCTCATCCTCCTCCTCCCCCTTCCTCCCCTCCGCAACAGCGGGTGGAGCCTCACCTGCGGCGGCTGCAAGCTCCACAAGGGCGTCTCGTTCCGCGAGGCGGCCGTCATCGGCAAAGGGCCCACCACCCGCAGCAGTGGCCCCAGCAAGGGCGAGGCAGGCCAAGCACGCCAAGGAACTCGAGCAGGTCCGCCGTCAAGGCGAGGCTCGCGGATGAGACGCCGACGCTGCCGCGGCGGAAACCTCCCCCAGGCTTGTCCACAGGACGACGCTGCGGAGGTCCTGGCCCGCATCAAGCGCCTTACGGCCCTCGTCCAGGCGGGGGAGCACATGGGCAACGCGGAGAAGGAGAACGTGCAGCGCTGGAGACCGAGCTCGACAACCTCAAGGCGATGCGGCAGGAGAACTTGCCCATCGGCAAACGCTACGCGGCCTGCAGCCGCGACATCAAGCGCCTCGAGGGACTCGCGGCGACGGCTAATCAGGACATCACCACCACCAAGGCCGACATCGAGCGGATTGAGGTCAAGCTCGCCTTCTGGCAGGAGCAGCTGGCCAAGCGCGACAAGGACCTCGCGGCGGCGCGGGCCCTCCTGGTCGACCTAGGCAAACAGGAGCTCCAGGGCGACAAGGAGGCGGAGGTCATCCCAGTCCTGGAGAGCGTCGTCGCGAAGCTCGAGGACCACCTCCTCGACGGGGCGGAGACCGTCGAGATCAGCAAGCTGTTTCTCCAGGCCAAGGACCGCCTCCTCCAGCAGGTCTCCGAGGCCAAGATGCAGCGCTCCCGCGCCTCGCAGGTGGAGCCGCCTGCCCCGCGCCATGTGGTCGCGCAGGTATTTGCGGTCACAGTATGGGAGACGGCGGCATCCAGTTGCGCATACCTCCAGTCGCTCGGCCAGCAGGTCCCCGACGACGACGAGGATGCCCGCGTCGCTGCCAAGCGCTTCACGGAGGTGCACACAGCGGCCACCCTGGCCGCGAAGAGGGCCAAGGTGGACGACGGCATAGACCAGCACGGCAAGGCCAAGCAGGACATCCGCGCAGCAGGCGAGCAGGCCGAAGGCGCCGGGCGCCGGGCGCTCGGGCGCAGCGCGGCCCCCAGCACTCCTGCGGATGATGGCGCACCACCTCCTGCTCAGGGCAAGTCTGCGCCTGGGAGTGGAGGCTCGCAGCAGTCCTAACTTCAGCTCGGACATCCAGGTACACTATGGCAACACCACGGAGTGGGGGCCGCAGGCACGGGGACCCCCCCCCAGGTCGGACCGCGCCAAGACCTTTGACGCGCAGAGGCGACCGACAGCGGCGGCGGTGCCAGGCCCGCGACGCCCCGTGCGGCCCCCCCGCGGCCGAGCGCAGCAAGCCCATGGCGGATCCAGACAGCAAGGGGTCGCGCCAGCGACGGGCAGCTCTGGCCAAGAGGGATGCGAGGCTCCCAGAGGAGCTGCAGCGGGACTTCCTAGACGCCCATCAGGCCATCTGCCATAGCAGCAGCGGCGGCCTCAGCGCGGGCGGCCCACCTGCCGCGGCCGCGGCAGGGACGGGACCCAGCGGGGCGCAGCCTGGCCCGAGCGTGGATCCTCAGCGCGGATCGGACCCACCACGAGGCCCAGCAGGGATAATGGCGGCCCCCACTGACCTCAGCTGGCGGATGGGGCCCCTTTCGACGACCCCGGCGACGCGCCCGAGGGCGCCCTGGAGCTGGACACCCCCGCCGACTTCGGTCCAATCTACGTCCCTGGTAGCACGGTAACACGTCACAACGCTGGACCCCCAGCAGCCCTTTAAAGTGGCTACAGTTTCGCAGCTCGCACTTCCCAAGGATGGCGAGATCCAGTCTACGTCCGCGTAAGACGTCAGCCTTCGAAAGTGACTACAGCAATGCAGATCGCACCCGCCAGGAACGGCGAGATCGAATCTAGGTCCCAGATAAGACGTCACTCCGCTGGAACCCCCCGCAGCCCCTGAGAGCGGCGACAGTTTCGCAGCTCGCAGTCCCGCTGGGATGGCGTGGTCCAATCTAGGTCCCTGGTAAGAGGTCACCCCGCTGGACCCCCGAGTAGCCCTCGAAATTGGCAGCAGCTTCGCAGTTCGCAGCCGGCCCAGGATGGCGAAGTCGAGTGTGGGTCCGCCGTGGGGCGTCAGTCCGCTGGACCCCCCAGCAGAAAATGGCGACAGTTTCGCTGTTCGGTGGCGAGGTCCAATCTACGTCCCCGGTAACACGTCACTCCGCTGGCATCCCCAGCAGCCCTTGAAAGTGGCTACGGTTTCGCAGTTCGCACCCCTCAAGGATGGCGAGGTCTACGTCCGCGTAAGACGCCATCCCGCTGGACCCCCCAGCAGCCTTCGAAAGAGAATACAATTTTGCAGTTCGCACCCCCCAGGGATGACGAGAACTAATCTAGGTCCCAGGTGAGACGTCACCCCGCTGGACCCCCCAAGCAGCCTTCGAAACTGGCGATGGTGTCGCAGTTCGCAGCCGCACAGGGATGGCGAGGTCCAATCCATAGGTCCCAGGCAAGACGTCACTTCGCGCAGCCCTCGAAAGTGGCGACTGCCTCGCAGGTCGCACCCCCCCGCGATGGCGAACGGGCAGGGCAGCAGGCAAGCAGGAGGCAGGGCAGAAGGCAGGTGGGAGGCAAGGCAGCGGGCAGGTGAGACGGGGGGGGGGGGGTGACCCTGACCTTCCAGGAGGGCCCAAAAATAGCATTAAGTCGGGCGTGTCCTTACAGGGGGGAGCTTCGACGAAAAATAAAGAAGACCCAAAAATACCCCAAAACAATCAACAAAATAGCCAAAAATAGTCCCCAGACTATTTTTGGAGTATGTTTTGATGTTTGATATGGGTATGTTTAATTTTTCGTCGAAAATCCTTCTGTAGGGGGACAGGCCCGACTTAAAAATAGCACCAGGACGTCGACGTCCTAATTCCTGTCGAGGTTTGGGACAGTCCAGATAGATCTGTAGGTCCGGGGTGCTATTTTTGAGCACTCGGGAAGGTCAGGGGGGAGGTGGAGGAAGGCGGGAAGAGGAGAGGCGACCGCAGTGCTCTATTCAAAGCGAGAACCCAACGCAGGAGGGCTGGGGGGTGGACAAAAAGAGGGGGTGCAGGGTGGGGCTTTCCCCACAGATGAACACCGGGCCCCCGGGAGGAGACCGGAGTGGGCGCCAAATCAGGGGGGCGGTGGGCCTTCCTGGGAGCAAGAGAAGCCGGCGGCGCTCGAGACGGTCGTCTTGTGGGCTGACTCCACGTGGCCGCCCCATGGGGTGGTTGGCCTCAGATTATTGCCGTGTGTCGTCGGTCGGCTTGGTATTGTGCGTCAGGTTCTCGGTGCGGTTGCCCTCCTTCGACTGTTAGGCAGTTGCCAGGGATCAGCATTGAGTGGGGCCTGTCCCTTTGCAGGAGGGAGATTCAAAAATAGTAGAAACATATTATGGGGACGATGTTTTTACTATGTTTGCCCATTTGGGGGGGTATTGTTTGAGTATCTGTGTAGCTTTTCTCCCAAAATCCACCTGTAGGGGGACACGCCCGACTTAAGATCAGCAGCGAATGGAAGCTGAGAGTCCGAGCCTTCCATCACTCCCCCGCCTTTCCCACGATGCGCAATTCAACACAATATCGAAATATCGGGCAAGTTCTTTGGTTTTTTTGGGGGCCAAGATCCTTTCATTTCTAATTATTCTATCATGGGCCACTGGGGGGCCAGGAACAATTAGACACGAGCACACTTAGAAATGAGCACGATTAGAAATGAACGACGTGTATGTCTGTGCGCGTGTATGTTGTTCACCACGCTGGATCGTCAGTTCCTGTTTCGCCAAAGCCTGCCCCAGAGCGAGGTGTGGCAAGCCGCTGGGGCGATAGCCTGTTCCCACTCGAGCGGCATCGCCTTCGTGGACGCGAGGGCGGGCAAGGTCGTCCACTCACAGCATACCAAGGCCCGCGGGGAGGGCGGACGACGATGGCGGCCGGCTCGCGCCCCTGTCTCGGTGGCGACGCCAGCGCTGGCGGTCGGGGTCGAATTCGGGCCCAAATGATCCCAGGCCTCCCAGATGGGGTCGGAGCAGGCGGGGTCGGAGGATCTTGCCGCATCGCCGATGCATCGCGATGCGGCTCGATGTGGAGCCCGATGTTCTCCACGCCGACGTCGCCGATGCGCCGATGCGTCGGCGATGCGGCGCGGTGCTCCGACCCCATCTGCTCCGACCTCCTTCGATCGCAGAAGAACAAACTGCAGAACCATAAGCTTTCGGAGCTCCGTTGGGCCGCCAAAAGTTTATGGTTATGCCGTCTTTCACTCCTCTAGATGCGGCGCGATACTCCGACCCCATCTGCTCGGACCCCAGCGGGTGTCGACCTGAACGGTTGTCTTGGCGATTTCGTGCACCGCTCTCGTTTCGACTCCGCTTTGCAGCAGAGACAAAGCGAGGGAAAACAGGAGAGGAGGAGGAGGAGCAGAAGGAGGAGGAGGAGGAGGAGCAGAAGGAGGAGGAGGAGCAGGAGGACGAGCAGGAGGAGGAGGAGGAGCAGGAGGAGGAGGAGGAGGAGCAGGAGGAGGAACAAAACGAGAACAAAAACACCGCTCGGGTCGGTCCCCAGACCCCAGCCGGGAGGCCTCGGAGAGCGGAGCTCGCGCGATGGCTGCGCGGCTCGCGCGGTGTCGGAGGCCCCGGCAGCGTCCAATGAAGGCTGCTCGGAAGCCGCGCGGGCTTCTGCAGGAGGCCCCCTTGCCTGCGCAGAGGGCCGCAGGCGTACCTTTTCTAGTGCATGCTCTTCGGCACCGCCTGTACTCCGCACCCTCCGGCCGCCTGAGGCCCCGCCCGCCCGCGCCCTGTCTCCCCAATTCGTGCTGTGCGCGCCCCGCTTAGCTCTTAACCAGAAGAGGGCCGCTCTCGACCCGCAGACCAAAAAAGCGCAGAAGGCCGCCCCCTCGTCGCGGCACCCACCGATGGGCGCCGCCAAGAGGCACGGGCAGGCAGCAGGGGGGGGGGAGTCGGCCACGCGCAGGGGGGGGGTAGTAGCGGGAGGGGGGGGGGGTTCTGGGAGGGAGGCTGCTTCCTGCAAGGCGCGGGCCCTGCCTGCAAATGTGAGGCCTGCGCCCCCTCCAGCAAGCAGCCTCCTTCCAAGAAGCTTCCCCCCTCCCCCCACTACCCCCACACCCCCGCACCCTCACATCTTCTGATTCTCATTATCATACCTTCTCCCATAATGACGAACACGGTCGAGACCGGTATTTCTTGAGTTTCACACAGCCCCCGAAGAGGGACAATCTCGTCATGATCAATGTTCTGTATTATTCACCACCTCCCAGAGGTGTTCCGTGACATCTTCCTCCTGCCGTTGCAGAATGCGTGTCGCCCGGAACCAAAGGTTGCCTGGAATATATATATATATATAATATATAATATATAATATATGAATATATATATAATATATATATATATATATAATATATATATACAAAAAAAAAGAAATGCGCGCGCCGCCGAGGGGGGGGGGGGGGGGGGCGGAGGAGAGCGGGGCGGCAGAGGAGGCCGAGCAGCGGCGGAACCTGGCCCGCGCGGCCCGCGGGGAAGCGGCGGGGGGACGAGCAGCCGCGCGACGGGCCGCGGGCGAGCAGCGGCGGAGGCGGGCGGGGCCCCCCCTGCGCCCGGAGGGGCCGCGCGGGACCCGGGAGGAGCGGGCCGAGCGAGGGCGCGTAGTGGCCCGGCTCACGCGGCGAGGAGAAGCTTCGCGCACACACACGCACACCCACGCACGCACGCACACCCACGCACACACACACACACACACACAC